AATCTCGTGAGAGATGTGTGTTTTTCGATGATCTGCGATGAAAGATTAGAAAGTGATCTCGAAAGGGAAAAATGACTTGAGAATATTTGTAATTTTTTGTCAATTTTCCATATGGTTAAAGTTTCCTTGGAAAGATTTTGGAAGATTTGGAAACTTTCCGGAAACATTTGGGAAGATTTGGAAACTTTCCGGAAAGATTTGGAAACTTTCCGGAAAGTTTTGGGAAGATTTGGAAACTTTCCGGAAAGTTTTGGGAAGATTGGAAACTTTCCGGAAAGATTTGTAAATTTTGAGAACTTTCTGAAAAATGTAGGAAATGGGAAATTTTAAGAAAGTTTGGAAATTATCTTTGCAACGTTGATAAGTTTCGGGTATTTTTGCGAAATTTAGAAAACCTGAAGAGATGTGAAATTGAAACTTGTCGGTGGGCGACACGCTGAGAATATTAGAGAGAAACAGAGAACAGCGATACACCCTCCAGTTCTTCCAGAAGATCCTCCCCTCTGTATCGAGGGGTGCACGATAAGCGAACACACGTGGAAAACTGTGATACATGTTTCAGACTCTTGGCATGAAATAAAGGGGGAGAATACCCACGCCAATGCCAGATCCTGAGAAACTTTCGGGAAGAAATTGAAGGAACGATGACAAGGTGGAACTAACATGCGATAATGAGATCATAGATAAAAAGTGAAAAATAGTTTCGCAGGAGAAAAGGAGCATTAAGGTGAAATGTAATTCCCATCAAATCAGTCGACTCGAATAAGACACTTTTTTTTAAGGGTATTGGATAGAACTGTCTGAAACTTTGTCACGACTCATGAGCACTTATGAATTATCCCGTCACTTTCAAAATTTGAATTTTCGAAATAATTCTTTAACTTAGGCCAGATCAGAATCAAACTGGCGTCGAGCTCTCATATTTCGATCAATATACAATTATCGAAGGCTCTGATATGAGAATCGAAATGGTCAGGACAATTTTACGACAATTTAGAACACTCTGGTAATCGATAAACTCGCATTTGAACGGGTTAAAGACAAAAAAAGTGTTTTATGCTCTTCTATGCTAAAACGATGGAAATACGAGGTCTCGGAGTGAAAATTTAATTGACCTGGAAATCACAGATGGCGCAGGGGGTCCCTCTGCAGTCAATTAGGGCCCCAGAAAGCACGAATCCAGGGACCACATTTCCATCAATATATAATTATTGAAGGCTCTGATATGAGAAACGAGAGGGTCAGGGCAATTTTACGACAATTTAGAACACTCTGGTAATCGACAAACTCGCATTTGATCGAGATAAAGGCAAAAAAAGTGTTGTATCCGCTTCTATGCCAAAACGATGGTAATACGAGGTCTCGGAGTGAAAATTTAATTAACCTGGAAATCACAGATGGCGTAGGGGGTCCCTCTGCAGTCAATTAGGGCCCCAGAAAGCATGAATCCAGAGGATTTCTGGAGTTTTACTTCGATTTCTTTATAATTATTGTACGAAAATGACAGGTGGAGTATGCCATTTGGTACAATACCCAATATAATTCGACCCAGCTGTCAATATAAAAACAAACGCCGGCAACGTAGGTATTTAGAAAAATCTTTTTTACCGACGTCGATCAAGTTCCTCGACGTATTTCACTTCTCCTTAACCGGAGCAATTCTCCTCGGATCTCCTCGGGACAAAGGACTTCACAGCATCCAGGAAAGCAAAAAAAGCTTGTCCGGATGTCGGAATCCAATTTCGTGCCGTAATAAGTCGAGCAAACGATTCGGGAGGAGTCATCCCCACTATGAAACTCCCATAAGCGTTATCCCGGTTTCCGTACCTCGTCTTTTTTCCCGGTTCCCCTTCTCACGATTTTCGCTGTTTTTTCCCCGCTTCTCTCCTCTACTTTTCCCTGGGGGAGATTTCCCCGTCACGGGCGAAGCTGGGGTCCATTTGTGTGTTTTCATCCCCCGGGAGTCCGGCGTTCTTCAGCCGATGAAGGGTTGATCATCTACAGGTCCAAACCCTACAGAACCCCATGGGCTCGATCTCTCCGGGACCCCACGTGAGAATGGAAATAAAGGGTACCTTGGTTTACGGGAATCTCTCCTGGAATCTCTTCTGGTACGATCAGGATAGCCAATCTTCCCAGAAATGGGTCCTATGCCCCTCTGAACGCGACCAGTGAACATCAGGTGATCAGCCTCCTCTTCATTTCCGGTTCCTTTTTTTATGAACATTTTTTTTTCCCAACTGGAATCCTTGGTTTACAAGAATCTCTCCTAGAATCTCGCTTGAAACAACCAGGACGATCCATCTCCCCAGAAATAACTTTTTCGTCCTTTCAAACGCGATCAGGTGGTGAGCCATCGCTCGATTTTCGTCTCCTCTTTTCTTCGGTTCCCGTTTTTCATTTCGATTTTTATTCCCAACTAGAATCCTTGGTTTACGGGGACCTTTTCTGGAATATCTCTTGAAACAACCAGGACGACCCATCTCCCAGAAATAACTTCTTCGTCCTTTCAAATGCGACCAGCGAACATCAGCTGATCAGCCGATGGACCATCACTTGATTTTCGCCTGCTCTTTTCTTCGATTCCCTTTTTTCAATTCGATTTTAGTTTCCAACTAGAATCCATGGTTTACAAAAATCTCTTTTGGAATGGCCGGAATGACGCATCTTTCCGGAAATAACTACTTCGGCCTTTCAAATGCGACCAGCGAACATCAGCTGATCAGCCGATGGACCATCACTTGATTTTCGCCTCCTCTTTTCTTCGATTCCCTTTTTTCATTTCGATTTTTGTTCCCAACCAGAATCCATGGTTTACAGAAATCTCTTTTGGAATGGTCAGAGTGACCTATCTTCCTAGAAATAACTTCTTCATCCTTTCAAACGCGACCAGCGAACATCAGCTGATCAGCCGATGGACCATCACTTGATTTTTGCCTCCTCTTTTCTTCGATTCTCTGTTTACATTTCGATTTTAGTTTCCGATTAGAATCCATGATTTACAAGAATCTCTTTTGGAATGGCCAGGACGACCCATCTTCCCAGAAATAACTTCGTCGTCCTTTCGATCGCGACCAGCGAATATCGGCTGATCAGCTAATGGGCCATCGCTCGATTTTCGCCACCTCTTTTCTTCGATCCCCCTTTTTTCATTTTGTTTTTTATTCCCAACTAGAATCCTTTGTTTACGGGAATCTCTCCTAGAATTTCTCTTGCAACAACCAGGACGACCCATCTTCCCAGAAATAACTTCTTCGTCCTTTCGATCGCGACCAGCGAATATCAGCTGATCAGCTAATGGGCCATCGCTCGATTTTCGCCACCTCTTTTCTTCGATCCCCCTTTTTTCATTTTGTTTTTTATTCCCAACTAGAATCCTTTGTTTACGGGAATCTCTCCTAGAATTTCTCTTGAAACAACCAGGACGACCCATCTTCCCAGAAATAATTTCTTCGTCCTTTCGATCGCGACCAGCGAATATCAGCTGATCAGCTAATGGACCATTACTCGATTTTCGCCTCCTTGTAAAGAAAACCTTTTATCATATTTTCTTCTTTTTTATTACGAGTCCTTCGCCTCCCTTTGTCTACCGGGAACTTTCTGGGAAGGAAAGGCGAGTTTTCATTTCAGAGACTGAATCTCCGCGGATGTCGTCCACCACTTTTGTGTGTTGGGCTTTTGTCACCCATCACATGCGGTCCTTATCACTCTGCTTTTTCTTTTTCACACCCTTCGCGGTCGGTTTCGCTCTCTCCATCTCTCCCTCTCTCTCTTTCGATCTCCTTTATCTGCTCCGTAGAGTCCTGCGGGAGAAAGTCCTCGAGAAAAATGAATATCCTCTGCACTGAGTAATTGAAGCGAGATGCAAATTAGGCTGTGACGTAAAATAATGTTCTAATCAATGATTATTTTATCCTGAGTATCTCTTTTTATAGACATTATTTAACTGATAATTATTTTATCCTAAGTAGTTGACTCGAATGAATAATCATAATTCTAATAAATCCTAATAAAACTCAAATGAATAATCATAATTCCGAAGAAATTGTGCATTCAATTTATTCGAATTTAATTGAGCATAAGATGGTTGAGATATTATTCTTTAAACTAAACAAATTAATTGTCGTAATTCCGAAGAAATTATGCATTCAATATATTCGAGTCAAATTCCTTGAATTAACCAAATATTTCCTTGGTTCGATGAACATTTCTTTCTCAGTGTTTATTAAAAGTATACGACGAAATATATTGATTATTTAGAAGAAATATGTACCGGAATAGATAACTTTTTGCTGTTTCATATGAATAAAATATATCTGGGAGTATACTTCTAATGACAAATTCTTATATGTATTTTATTTATATGAGATGGCCGAAATTTGTCAATTTCCGTACATAGTGTTTTATATCAGCAATATATTTTTATATATGTATATTTCCATGAGGGTTTTAAAAGTCACATTCACGAAGAAAAATATTTCATTTTATTTTATTCCATACTGTCGATTTTTTTAATCAGCGTCATATGTTGTGATATTAATGTTTATAATATATTATTGGGATATAGCTCGCAAGAAAAAAACTGTCTATTTAGAAATTGAAGTATGCATATATGATGATCACATATGTATACTAGGACGGTTTTAGGGTGCTGTAATTAAGAAATTGCAAAACTGCATGATTGCAAAAATACAGATTAAATATATCAGCTGTTAACCTGGTATACAGGTACATAAACACTGTAACTAGGTACTGTTTTCGGACCTGTAAGTACTTTACTTATACATTGTTGATATATTAGGACGGCTTTATGATGTTGTAATTAAAAAATTGCAACACTGTATGATTGCAAAAATACAGATTAAATATATCAGCTGTTAACCTGGTATACAGGTACATAAACACTGTAACTAGATACTGATTTCGGACCTGTAAGTACTTTACTTATCCATTGTCGATATACGAGGATGGTTTAAGGGTGTAGTAATTAAAAAATTGCAAAAATACAGATTAAATATATCAGCTGTTAACCTGGTATACAGGTACATAAACACTGTAACTAGGTACTGATTTCGGACCTGTAAGTACTTTACTTATCAATTGTTGATATACTAAGACGGTTTTAGGGTGCTGTAATTAAGAAATTGCAAAACTGTATGATTGCAAAAATATACTTTAGATATATCAGCTGTTAACCTGGTATACAGGTACATAAACACTGTAACTAGGTACTGATTTCGGACCTGTAAGTACTTTACTTATCCATTGTCGATATACGAGGATGGTTTTAGGGTGCTGTAATTAAGAAATTGCAAAAATATAGTTTAGATATATCAGCTGTTAACCTGGTATACAGGTACATAAACACTGTAACTAGGTACTCTTTTCGGACCTGTAAGCACTTTACTTATTCATTGTTGATATATAAGGACGGTTTTAGGGTGCTGTAATTGTATGGTTGCAAAATTGCGCAATTATATGATTACAACAATGCGGATTCAGGAAAATGGACGTATCAGCAGTTGATATTGTTCACCGGAAGCAAGGTTTCCTTATCGATGTACTCTCCCAGTTTCGTTTTCAAGTCATTCAATTCCGCTTCAGGTAATGTCTTCTGTCTCGACCAGATCATTGCAATTTCTCCTCGAGGAATGAATCGAGGATTCCCATTTCCGCAGACGATCATTGCCAGGGAGGAATCATAATTCGGGGAAAGAATGACGTGCTTGAAGGGTCCTGAAAGCAGATTGTTATTAAGGTTAAGGTGACGTGAAAGTGGCGTCAAAGAGGTTTTGTTTATAAAACTTTTCTCCCAACTCGGTTTACCGAATAGTTTGAAACTTTACAACGTGAATAGGAAGACTATAAGGGAGGTCCTGAAACTCATGAAATTTCAATTCTTTTCAAATTTGTTTATAGGTATTTTAAAAATAGTTTATAAAAAATAAAATTTTGCGACTTTCAGGACCTACCTTAGGGTCTCCATATTCACGTTTTAATGTATGAAATGATTTGAGATAAGTTTTATGAACGATTGAGCTTCCGGATGCCACTTTCACATCCCCTTAAGTAAAACATGTCGAGGAACTTGATCGACGTCGGTAAAAAAGATTCTAAATCGGAGTGAACTATAAGCGGAGTAATAAAATTTCTAATAATATTGTATATCCTCCAGGAAAAGTTATCGACCTCTTGATAATTTCTAATTTCCCGAGTTAATTTAATAATTGGTTTCTACAAGCAAAGGTAATTGAGAATGTTTCTGAAGTTTTGGAAATGTTCGAAAACGTGGAGGTTTTCTCGGGAACATTTGGAAATAATTAGAAAACCTTAAGGGAAATTTAAGAAATTTTTGGGAACTTCTATGAAAATACAGAAAATTTTGGGAATTTTCAGGAAAATGTAGGAACTATAGGGAAAATATAGGTAATATTTGGGAATCGATCCGTGCTTTTGGAATTTCTTCGGAACTTTTGGGAATTCCCTTTTTACGCATTTTGAACATTTTAGGGAATCTTGGGAAAACGTGATGCGATGAAAAATTGGAAAATAGACTTATTGTTTACCAAAGGCCTCCTTGTAGCCAACTAATTGCCATTGCGCGAGGATATCATCGGATACCGTTCCATCGACGATAAAGGTGACCGGCTGATTATTCCTGTGACTAATTGCAGTGTACTTTATCTTGAAGGTATCCGATGACGTCTGATTTACCAGGAAATGAGCGCATGTACTGACGCTGTTTTTCTTCACGGGGGTTCCCTCTACCATGTACCATTCTCCTGCGAACTGATAAGAACCTCCATTAATCGATCTTACTCGCAAATATTTTTTAAATATTAACTTCTTGCGCTATGATTTAATTTTGGAAACATTTTAGTGTAATGAGTCTAGCTGGTCATTGTAGCGCAAAGGGTTAAATTAAAATTAATAAAAAATAATTTCATTAATTGAATTCAAGACTATAAGAACGATATAGACCTCCCAATAAGAACCTCCATTAATCGATCTTACTCGCAAATATTTTTTAAATATTAATTTCTTGCGCTGTGATTTAATTTTGGAAACATTTTAGGGCAATGAGTCTGGCTCGCGATTTTTTTAATCAGCGTCATATGTTGTGATATTANCCACTTTCACATCCCCTTAAGTAAAACATGTCGAGGAACTTGATCGACGTCGGTAAAAAAGATTCTAAATCGGAGTGAACTATAAGCGGAGTAATAAAATTTCTAATAATATTGTATATCCTCCAGGAAAAGTTATCGACCTCTTGATAATTTCTAATTTCCCGAGTTAATTTAATAATTGGTTTCTACAAGCAAAGGTAATTGAGAATGTTTCTGAAGTTTTGGAAATGTTCGAAAACGTGGAGGTTTTCTCGGGAACATTTGGAAATAATTAGAAAACCTTAAGGGAAATTTAAGAAATTTTTGGGAACTTCTATGAAAATACAGAAAATTTTGGGAATTTTCAGGAAAATGTAGGAACTATAGGGAAAATATAGGTAATATTTGGGAATCGATCCGTGCTTTTGGAATTTCTTCGGAACTTTTGGGAATTCCCTTTTTACGCATTTTGAACATTTTAGGGAATCTTGGGAAAACGTGATGCGATGAAAAATTGGAAAATAGACTTATTGTTTACCAAAGGCCTCCTTGTAGCCAACTAATTGCCATTGCGCGAGGATATCATCGGATACCGTTCCATCGACGATAAAGGTGACCGGCTGATTATTCCTGTGACTAATTGCAGTGTACTTTATCTTGAAGGTATCCGATGACGTCTGATTTACCAGGAAATGAGCGCATGTACTGACGCTGTTTTTCTTCACGGGGGTTCCCTCTACCATGTACCATTCTCCTGCGAACTGATAAGAACCTCCATTAATCGATCTTACTCTCAAATATTAGTCAAATATCTTGTGCTACTAGGGTAGTATTACCTTTTCCAAGTCGAGGCGAGTAGTGCTGCTGGGTGGGCAAATCGCAAGCGAGTTCGCTGCTAATAGGGAAACCAGCAAAAACGAAAACCAGCCGCGAGCGACAACCGCCTCCGGGCGGAAAGTGCAGTGTTTCGTCCTCGTCGCACTCATGGTGGTCAGTACTGGAGGGAGAGAGACAGAGCTAGACGCCGCTAGTGGAAGAAGAGGCAGCGGGCCGGGTCGGCGTTCCAGTCGGTACTAAACCTCTCTCGATCAGGTGGATCTCTTTTAGTAATACGTGACAATTCGCACGGGGGTCGTAACTCCGCGATTGTTTATCTCTGTTCACGTGCGCCTTCGGAGTGCGTTTGGATTTCGCAATTGCGACTGAAATAGGCCGAAGTCGGCTTTAATGTCATCCGTTGTACGTGCTGCGTGACGCCGACGTCGTTACGAGCTGTAAACGATCGCCATTTTGGAAAACTCGTGCCCGGTTTTCGGGGGAAATAAATCCGCGTTTACTGACTTGGAAGAATGTTTCTATTACGATGATTTATGCCGTTTGTACACGTATATCACTCGGAATGAATCGTCGATTGGACACAGATGGTGAATTTTATTGTGTAATCAGAATGGCTGTGTTAGGTAATGTCATGATCATGAAATTATTCGTGGAAATTCGTTTCAACGTTTTTTTAACAGTTTCTATTTGCAGATTATCCGGAACAAAATTCGGAATAGAAACAGCTGGAGGATTCGATTGGGTAATCTTCGATTCCCAGACAGCATAAAATATTCATAAAATATAGAAAAAAAGTTGGAAAATATTCCTCATGTATATTCGACATTGGAATGATATTTTAAGTACAATATTAGATTACGTACATATGATAATGTTTCCCAGATATAGTATAAATATTTAATGTTTTATAAATGTATATATATATACAATATTGGTTTAGGCATTTGAAATATGGAATACTATTCTATAAATACTACAAGTGTTACATAAGGTTTGTAATATAACATTAAAATACTAAAGTTAACAATTATTTTATACATTTTGATTCCATGTTCATACAATATTTCGTTAAATATATATAAAATATAAAAAACTGACCAAAACTACGTTCATCCTATGTTCAAAAAATGTACATAGCACATAAATCCATATCCTATTAATATTGAAATATTTTCAAAGAATATCCTATGAACCTCTGTGCTGTATATTTGTGCTGTCTGGGTTATATTAAATAATGTGGAAAAAAAATTCATTGAACCAATGAAATATTTCTTCGAACGGTAACGAAGAAATACATTTTGTTAACTCGAAGAATAATTATTTGGCTCGAATAAACTGAAATAAATTGTCATTATCGTGAAGAAATATTTCATCCAATTTATTCCAGTTTAATTCAGTTGAATAATCACTCTTTGAATTAATGGAATATTTCTTAGGTTCAATGACACCTTTTTCTCAGTGTAGTGATTTATTCACAAAAAATTTGTTGCATCTTCATAATTCAATAAAATCATTAAATAAATATACATTTATACGATAAACATAGATTTGCTCGGGCACGTTTTAAAAATAGTAAACATTCTTACAAGTCTTTCAAAAGAACTATTTTCGATATAATTAGTAAGCGAATATAATTAATTCCGTAACAAAGGTAACTAAGAAAAACAGTACACGTGGAAATAAAAATTTATCAGTAAATCGTGTTTCGACTGACATAAACGTGAGTCGCATATTAAATCATTCGATAAGTCCTGTCGTTTCCTTATTACAGTTTTACTGAAATTACTGCACCGAGAAAAGAAATCCATCGAACCGAAGAAACATTTTGTTAATTTAAAGAATTTCACTCGGATAAACTGAAATAAATTGTTATAATTCCGCAGAAACCTTGCGTCCAATTTATTCCAGTTCAATTGAGTCAAATAATTAATCTTTGAATTAACGAAATATTTTTTTATTTCAATGAAAGTATTTTTTCTCAGGGTTATAAACATTTAGTAATCGGCTTCCCACCAAGTACTATATGTTACGACTACATAACACAGGAATAACATGATACATAACAAATGTTATTCAAAAGATACATTAATATCATATAAGGTCGAATTATTACCGTTTGGTAACATTGTTACGAATTTGTTAACATTGCAGTTACCTAGTACTAACATAACATGTAGTATGTTGCCAATATGTTATGTATGCGTTATATCATTCGTTTTAGAAGAGTCCTATATGGCTGCGGAGGAAATAGTAATACAAATCTTGCTTATATATTATATGTATGTAATATTACATGTTACAAACGTTATGTAACGGTTATATTATTGTTACGTATCCGGGTTTGGGTTGTGACGTTATTTCAAAATTGACTTTCAAAACCGAGAGAATTTCTCCTATATATTACACGTTATGTGTATATTATACGTATGTTATATTCAATGTTACAAACGTTATGTAACGGTTATATTATTGTTACATAACCGGGTTTGGGTTGTGACGTTATTTCAAAGTTGACTTTCAGAAACGAGAGAATTTTTCGTGCATATTACATATTATATGTATGTTATATATATGTTATATTCAATGTTACAAACGTTATGTAACGGTTATATTATTGTTACATAACCGGGTTTGGGTTGTGACGTTATTTCAAAGTTGACTTTCAAAAACGAGAGAATTTTTCGTAAATATTACACATTATATGTATGTTATACGTATGTTATATTCAATGNATTATATGTATATTATACGTATGTTATACATATTATATGTATGTTATATTGAATGTTACAAGCGTTATTTGACGGTTATAGTCTTGTTACATAACCGGGTTTGGGTTGTGACGTTATTTCAAAGTTGACTTTCAGAAACGAGAGAATTTTTCGTGCATATTACACATTATATGTATGTTATACGTATGTTATACATCTTATATGTATGTTATATTGAATGTTACAAGCGTTATTTGACGGTAATAATATTGTTACATAACCGGGTTTGGGTTGTGATGTTATTTCAAAGTTGACTTCCAAAAACGAGAGAATTTTTCGTAAATATTACACATTATATGTATGTTATACGTATGTTATACATCTTATATGTATGTTATACGTATGTTATCCATATTATATGTATGTTATACGTATGTTATACATATTATTTGTATGTTATACGTATGTTATCCATATTATATGTAGATTATACGTATGTTATACATCTTATATGTATGTTATATTCAATGTTACAAACGTTATGTAACGGTTATATTATTGTTACGTAACCGGGTTTAGGCTGTAACGTTACTTTAAGATTGACTTTCAAAAACGAGAGAATATTTTAAACCACTTGACATAACCTAATTAGTCGATAGATCTGAGATGAGTGATGAGAGATAATCCCCTTGTCTGTGGTTTGAGATCATGATTGACAATTGTCATGGCTCGCTGTGAGGATTTTGGCCTCGTCGATATATCCGGCGAGCTTCCCCTTGAGGTCCTGGAGGACTTTAGAGGATAATCGCCTCCCTCGGGACCAGATCATGGCAAATCTCCTTCCAGGAAGGTCCTGGCTGTCCTCTGCACAGACTAACATGGCCAGGAAGGATCCGTAATCCGCGGAGACTACTATGTGTCTGAATGGCCCTGGAAGGATCGTTTCTTTCGTTGGATTAATTTCAACAAAGAAAGAGCGTAGATAGTGCAGAGAATATACGGGATGTATAGAGAGAATAGGAGATTAGGTAGTACATATGGATAAGGGAAAAAGAATGAGATTTACGAGGTATAGTTCGGATAAATCAGGTCTTTGTGGCGATGGAAACAAGAAAGGAATAGCGCGAAATTTGAACGTGGTTTTGTAGTTTCCTTTTTCGCGTAGAGTCACTATAATGGCATTATTTTATTTAGTGCTTATATTATTCACGTAGTAATGGATAAGGAAAAAAGAAATTAACTTTACGAGGTATGGTTCGGATAAATCACGTATTTTATGACGATGGAAACAAGGAAGGAATGGCGCGAAATTTGAACGTGGTTTTGCAGTTTCCTTTTTCGAAACGCGTAGAGTCACTGTAATGGCATTATTTTATTTAGTGCTTATATTATTCACTTAGTAATGGATAAGGAAAAAAAATTAACTTTACGAGGTATGGTTCGGATAAATCACGTATTTTATGGCGATGGAAACAAGGAAAAAACGGCGCGAAATTTGAAATGTGGTTTTGCAGTTTCCTTTTTCGCAAAATATGGAGTCACTATAACTATATTATTTTAACTTAATAAATGATGTTCTTTACGTTGGATTAATTTGAACAAAGGAGGAGTATAGATAATACAGAAAATATACGTAATGTATAGAAAGAATAAGAGATTAGATAGTACACTTTACTATTACTAAACAACAAAAAATAATTTCATTCCCATGGAAGGAGTGAAAGAGTCGTCCAGAAATTTCGTAATGGCCTCAATATGTATTTTGCAATAATGATCGTTATTCGTGGCAACTAGCTAGTGACAACACCTAGTCTCATGTATTTAGAAAATACTTTAGCACCATTAGAAGGTAATAAAAAAAATTTCTTACACTCGAAAAAAAGGGAAAGAGACGTTCGAAAATTTCGCAATGTCTTCGACATATATTTTGCGGTGGTATAGCATATATTTTGTAGAAAGAGGCTCTTACCGAGAATCCTATTAGACCCCTCGAGCTGCCAACTTCCCGTGACGTCACGGGCCACCGTCCCGTTTACGAGGAAAGCCACGGGATGGTTTCGCCTGTGGCTAATGGCGGTGTACCTTATGGTGAAGGTACTCTCCGAGGTCTTCCTTACCATGTAATGGCCGCATCTGCTCAATTCGCCTCCGGTCACAGGAGTGCCCGCCACCATATACCACTCACCTGAAAACTGAGTGAAAGCAAGTGCTCTAATTACGTCTCTTTCGATTTCATGAGGAAACCAGAATTTTTGTTTGAAAAGAGAAACTTAATCATTATCGAACAATTTTCATACTCTTCATGTTTTTTTTTTTACTTTAATTGACAGAGGCAATTGCCCATCACCATGTACAATGGCGGACATAAATGCCTCCTCTGCAGATACGGCATCGTCTATGCAGGACGGGAGGGCATTGATGTCTCCCAGTGTACCACTCATCGGAAAACTGAGTGAAGCAATTGCTCTAATTACGTCTTTTTCGATTTCATGAGGAAACCAGAATTTTTGTTTGAAAGGAGAAACTTAATCATTATCGAACAATTTTCATACTCTTCATGGTTTTTTTTTCATTTTAAATAACGAGGGCTATGGAGGATTTTAAAATCTAAAATTGTTGAATATAAATTTTATCGATAAAATGTTGCATATAAATGTGCTCTAATTACGTCTCTTTCGATTCTATGAGGAAGCCAGAATTTGTTTTTGACAGAAGAAACATAAATTGAGTTTGGTGTACCAAATTACTTTCATATTTAACGTGACCTATCACAATACTTGAAGTGATCAATTGAAGATTATTGACTAAAGAATTGAATCATATCAACCAAATATTTTTCTCTGTGCACTGTTTAGATTGATTTGTGTCAAAAATTTGAGATTTGCACTCAGGACGACTACACATTAAGGTGATGTGAAAGTGCGTACTTAGAGGTCTCGTTTATGAAACTTTTCTCTGAACTGGGTGTATGAAATCGTTTCAAAGTTTACAACGTAAATATGGAGGTTGTAAGGGATGTCTTGACGCCCATGAAATTTCAATTTTCATCTAATTTGTTAATGGCTAGTTTGAAAATTTTTTATAAAAAATGAAATTTCCCGAGTTTCAGGACCTGCCTTAGGGCCTGTTTATTCATGTGGTAAAATTTGAAACAAATTGGTACGCTAACTTCGGAGAAAAGTTTCATGAACGATCGACCCCTCGGATGCCACTTTCATATCCCCTTAAGAATTTGCATGAGTCTCGGTCACTTTTGACATCGCTATCAGTCGCCGATAGGAAATCACGATAGCTCGATACGAGCATGTCAAAGCATTCGGTAATCCTCTGTTGCCCTTAATGCAAATGATTCGAAATTGTCCCCGATCATTGACGTGACAAACGAGCTCGTATGGAATCATGAATATTAATCGACAGTTTCGAAACCACGTCGACCATAAATCCGATTTGTCAATCAATCGACCCAGAAGTCGATAACGATTCGACAAGACTTTCGAGGGAACCCCATAACGTATAAATAAAAGTAAACCTTATCCTTTTCAACACTTCTACATTGAGGGAAACATAAATGAACTGAAGAAATGTTTCTTTAACAGTGCCGAAGAAATAATTTGTCAAGTTCAACATTTCTACCCTGAGGGAAACAAATGAACTGAAGAAATGTTTCTTTAAACAGTGCCGAAGAAATAATTTGTTAATTTCAACATTTCTACACCGAGGGAAACATAAATGAACTGAAGAAATATTTCTTTATACATTAGTAAAGAAATAATTTGTTAATTTCAACATTTCTTCCCTGAGGGAATAATGTAAATGACGGAAGAAATGTTTCTTTAAATAGTGCCCAAGAAATAATTTGTTAAATTTAACATTTCTACCTTGAGAGAAACTTAAATGAACTGACGAAATATTTCTTTATACAGTACCAAAGAAATATTTTGTTAATTTCAACATTTCTACCCTGTGGGAAACAAATGAACTGAAGAAATGTTTCTTTAAACAGTGCCGAAGAAATAATTTGTTTATTTCAACATTTCTACATCGAGGGAAACATAAATGAACTGAAGAAATATTTCTTTATATATTAGTAAAGAAATATTTTGTTAATTTCAACATTTCCACCCTGAGGGAAACAAATGAATTGAAGAAATATTTCTTCAAACAGTACTAAAGAAATAATTTGTTAATTTCAACATTACTACCCTGAGGGAAACAAATGAACTGAAGAAATATTTCTGCATGCGGTACCAAAGAAATAATTTGTTAATTTCAACATGTATACACTGAGGGAAACGTAAATGAACTGAAGAAATGTTTCTTCATACAGTACCAAAGAAATATTTTTTTAATTGAAAGAATAATTATCTGACTCAAACGAGCTCGAATAAATTGGATGCAACATTACTTCGGAATTGTGTCAATTTCCTTGATATTTTTTAGTCAAATAATTTTATGAATTAAAAAAATATTTCTTTGGTTCAATGGACTTTTTTCTACTAAAACGTCCTAACTAGAATTCATCCCAAAATCCGAAAATCGCTCGAGGAATTACTATTTCAAAATTCACCGGATTAGGTTACGATTAGAAATGAGGATTTACTGTATAAAAAATTAAACTTTTAAATTATTTCCACCATTTTCACAAACCTGGTTCAGGTCCAGTGGGAGGCCATTTCCCGCAGGACACTTCGCACAGCAAGGATGCATCCAAAAATCGCACAAAAGTACGAAAAATACCAAATGCGTCAAGTTCAAAGAGACAATGTTCGCCGAAGGCATCTTTATTAATAAATAAATCAATTTGTATTTCTTTCAGAATTTATGTCGAGCTAATTCCAAACGGAGGTAGCTTTGTCGAAGGAGCTTCGACTTCGGATGGGCTTTCGAAACTGAGTCGAAGAATCGTCGGGACATTTCCTGAGGGAAGGTCTGGTCGATCCTTGCTGGCTTATCGATATTTGTCCTTCGATAGGAGCTGTCTGTGCTCACAAACAACGGGTTGTTTACTCGGTGAGCAACGCTGTTTACTGCTCCCGGACCGGAAAGCCGCATTAGTCATCCTCCAATTTTTCTCCCTCCTCTTCCTGTCGAGAATCTCGCGAAAAAGTGCACTTTGTAAAGAAATCGACAGCGAAGAGTTATGGGACAGTCGATCACTGGTTTTTGGCAAGAGTTTTTGACAAAATTGACATCGAAGAGATATGGGGAAAATCGTTAGCTATTTTTTTGCATAGGGTGACGTTTTTCGAGTTTTTCTCTACCTATACCGAGATTTGACTCTCCTCGTCGTCCGCGAACTATTTCCGTAATGCGGAAGATATTAAAATCCTGTAGAGATGATTCCCAAAGTCGAAACAGGAGCCAAAATGGAGTATCGTGGATTTTTTTGGCAAAATTGACATCGGAGAGTTATGGAGAAAATCCCTTTAAATACGGAGCCCTTTCGACATAAGGGCGAAATTCCTGAAAGCGTGCAGGCAATATTGGACCAAACGTCGGGCGCCTTTACGTGCTTTTTGACAAAATTGACATCGAAGGGTTATGCAAAAAATCCCTTTAACACTAGAACTCCCAAGACCAGTCAAAATGACTGGTTTCAAATGGCCCATCCTATAGAAAAAAAATCCACCCTAAGTTCTAGTGTTAAATACGGAGCCCTTTTGACATATGGGTGAAATTCATGACAGCGTGTAGGCAATATTGGACCAAACGTCGCTCGCCTTCAAGTGCATTTTGGTAAAATTGACGTCGAAGAATTATAAGGAAAATCGTTAGCTACTTTTTGGCAAAGGGTGAAGTTTTTCAAGTTCCTTTCTACCTATATCGTGATGTGACTTTCTTCATCGTCCGCGAACTATTTCCGCAATGCGGAAGACATGAAAATCCTGGAGAGATGATTCTCAAAATCGTAACAGGAGCCAAAATGGAGTGTCGTGGATTTTTTTGGAAAAATTAACATCGGAGAGTTATGGAGAAAATCCCTTTAAATACGGAGCCCTTTCGACATAAGGGCGAAATTCCTGAAAGCGTGCAGGCAATATTGGACCAAACGTCAGACGCCTTTACGTGCTTTTTGGCAAAATTGACATCGAAGTGTTATGAGGAAAATCGTTAGCTACTTTTTGGCATAGGGTGACGTTTTTTGAGTTTCTCTCTACCTATACCGAGATTTGACTTTCCTCATCGTCCGCGAACTGTTTCCGCAATGCGAAAAACATGAAAATCCTGTATAGATGATTCCCAAAATCGTAACAGGAGCCAAAATGGAGAATCGTGTATTTGTTTATCAGTTTCAAGGAATAACTTCCCGCGAAATCTTTAAGCTCAATCTCGATAAATAAAAAAGATCTGCAAAATCCCAACTTCCATTTTTAAAAAATGCTGATAATTTACTTCGAAAGTTACAACAATCTTTCCCGGGATTTATTTTCATTCACCATCTTAAATAAAACAGGAAATCCATGAAAGGCAAGATTTTCTCAGATATACATTTAATTTACTAAAGGTGTTTTAACAGTCTTTTTTACTTCTTTTTTTTACTCCCGTCCCTCTAATTAAGAGAAACGTTGTAAAAGCTCTACATTTCGGGGAAAATATGTTTAATTTACTTGCGGTCGTTAGTTCGTCGCGATTCTGGACCTAACCTAACATGGTCCACGTCGGAGTGGTTCGTAAATTTCGGTTTAATTAAACGAACGGCCACCACTCCCGAATTTTCCCCAATTCCCTCTTCTCCCTCTTTTTCCATCCGATCAGCGCAATCTCAGGGAATCCCACAATCTACCGGAAATGTTTTCCCGTCCGGCGCTAATTCGTTTCCGGTCGGCGAGGAGACGGAAAAGAGTGCGGAATTAAGTAACACGCCTAAATTGCATGGTCTCCGATTTTTACGTAGCCGTTTTCAAAAATACGCATTTTTCACAAAATGGCATCGATTCGAAAGGAAAGATACGTATTTTGTCCTAAATTTCGTTAATTAATGTTGCATAAAAAATGCGAATATCAATACATTGAAAAAACCATACGTATTTCGCTAGATAAAGATATCAGGAACAAAATAAAAAAAAAGAATCAAGACGATTCATTGAAAATTGGCGGAGCTAGAGTGCCCGTCGATTTTTAAAATGCAGTTTTAAGAAAAACGCGTTTACACCTATACACCTGCCCACCGCACGATCACCGATTTTCGCAG